AGGGATTGCTCAACTGTCCAGAACGATGCCATCGTTTCGTCTTTACAGACATAGTTGCAGCAAATCTCACCATTGGACGAGTCACCACGCCCAGACGATGTAGTTGAGCTCGAAGACGGTGCTCTGCAGCATGCCTCAATGCACACACCCAGAACCCATGAGGGAGCCCACTCTCATGTAAAAGGAGTCGAGTGCGCCGCTTGATCTGGTTGACTTCCGACTCAACGCGGCCGTTGCTCTTTGCATCATCTCCTCCTGTCATAGATTGTAGGAGGCTTCGAGTTTGACACCAGCGTTGCACCGGTTTGGCCAAAAACGATTTCTCACGATCGCTATGGAGGCGGCGGAAAATCTGAACCCCCAGCGACTTGAACTTGGCATACACCTTTGACAAGGCCTGGACGATGGAGCCAACCGACCTGTTCTGCATCACTTCAACGACGGTGAGGTTCTGGAAGTGCATGGCCTCCGTGGATTAGCAATCTCCCCATCTTCAGACTCACCAAAGTCCCGATTCACCCCCTCAGCCTCCTCCGCGGTCACCTTTTCGGCTTCCTCCTCCAGCTCTGGCAATTCAGGCACCTCCTTCAAAGCCTCAGGGTGGTCACAAGGTTCATCGCCTGCTCCCGGAAGATCACCCAGGATGGGTACTGCCACCGTTCCAACCAATGCATAGCGGCAGAGCATGCCCGTCCCATAGTCTTTCCCTGCTTCAAAGGGGCCACAAATGTCGACCGACAGGACGAAGTGAGTGGATGCCCCTCCAGCTCGACGGTGCGGAGCGTCGCACCCCATCGCTTCTGCACAAATATGGCAGTCCGATCTGAACGGAATGCGCCCTTGGTGTACATGACGTCTCCAAGCATCCATGTCCAATTTAGCCATTTGTGGTGTGCACTCCCCCTGTTCCTCCAACGTCAAGGACGACAGAAACCAGGTCATCGAGTGCTGAATCGCCTTCACCAGGCCTGGAGCCCAAGCTGCCCATTCTTTTGATGCATCCATTCTCCTTGACAATGATGCAGGAAGTGGTCCAGGTTCATGGCCATCTCCTCGTAGTCCTTGTAGTTGATGTAGCTCTGGCAAAAGGATCGTCGTCGGCTTTCTTCTTGCATGGCCCATCGATCCTTGATCGAAGTGTATGAGGCTTAGTCCTCCTTGATTCAACCAGGACGGGAAGCTCCAAAACGATGGCGCTGTCTTCGCCTCCTCCTCGTCCTTCAAGTAGGACGCCGGGTCCATCGGAGATTCCAGGAGCATCCCAACATCCTGCTTCCAGCGTTTGCATTCCTGCGCCCGCACCCATAGTGCCATCTGTTTCAAGCAGAGGGCTGAATCGCTGTTCACGAGGTTGAGCTCATAGTCCTGGAGGTGCGGTAGGTGCCATCGGTCTGCGCCCCTGCCCCTGAGTCGTCTTGGCCCTGGTGGAGAGCCATTTCGCATTCTCGACACGGTACGGCATGGAGGGCCTCCCAGAATCGCTGCCACCTTTCCTTTCGAAGCCAACCCCACAAACGTAGGCCCAAACCTGTGGATTATGCAAGCTGTATTGCGACCCCAGCAAGGTGTCCAAGTGCAGCCAAACGAAGGAATCTCCTCCAATCCCACTCCATTTCTTGGTTGATGATCACCCCCTTGGCATTGGCATGAGTCCGCCTTGTTCTCCTGTTCCATGGAGGCTGTTCCGACTCCCGTCCCTGGCCTCCCATATAGCGTAGTACCTCAGGTGGTACCTCAGGGAAGTTGGTGCCCCACCAAGCCAGCTGCTCAGGATCCAATTCATGGGCACCCTTCTCTTCCGCTTCAAACCTGTCCAGCATCGAAAGAGCGCTTTGGCGATCCATCACCGGGCACCCAAACCTCAGCACACATGCCACTTCCCCATGGTCGGCATGTCGAATCGAGCAGCCTGTCTTCCTCCACGAGATGTTGAAGCCCTTCTCAACCAGGAGACTCAGCGGTATGATGGGCTCCACCTCAGTCAACGAAAGAAGCGTGCTGTGGCTGGGATGCTTGTACAAAGTGGTGGTGCCCTGGGCGAGCTCTACCTCCACTGGGCGCAAATCATCACGTTCATGCTGGTGAGCCATTCGCAATGCGTGTGTCGCTCCACCATTCAAAGCGAATCGATCTTTGGCTGTATGCCCATGATCTAGGCTCACCTGCTTCAGTTTGACTCTCTTCATGGCCCGCAGCGACTTCAGCAATGAAGCGGCCTCAGAAATCAGCTCCTTGGCTGGGTCCTCCACCTTTCCACCCTGAACTGAACCCCCTTCTTTCTTCTCATCCTCCTTGGACGGTGAAGTCGGTGAGGTCGATGGTGTTGGTGTCGTCGATGTAGTCGATGAAGTCCCAGGTTTGTTCACATCTTCTGGTTTCTCTAGTTTTCCACCCCCTTTCAACTTGGCAGCCCTCTTCCCATCTCTCCCTGATCGCTCTCGACCATATGGGCAGTCCTTGGCGAAGTGGTTCTCCCCGGAGCAGTGGAAACACCTGTCTGCTTTGTTGATGCCCTCCCAGGAGTGAGCAAAGGTGCAAGATTCACCCCGCTTGCATCCAGCTGAGCTTCCCCAGTAGCGGCACGCTTGTTTTGATTTCTGTTGCCCATCTCCACTGACCTGTCCTCCCCCCAAGGCTTTGATTGTTGGTTGAGCTCCCCCCGCAAGTTGGCTTCCAGCTGCAGGACTAGTAGTCTTGGTCGAGGTCGGCTGGGGCATAGTCAACGCCAAATCTTCCGCCTCGGCTTGTAGGAACTCTGCAAACTCCTTGGTGGCGATCAGTGTGGGCCTACTTCTTGTCGAGCAGCTGCAATGCGGAAACCCACTTGGCTTCCCCCGTGCTTGGTGAGGTTCTCTGCAATCTTGGACAGGGCCTGGATTAAGACCATCGAGTCCGCAATTCTTCCGCTCGACAAAGCCACCTGCGCCACTTTCGAACGGCGCTCAAAGTGTCCTGGATGGAGCTGCCACACTTCACCTCGGTCAGGCTGCAAGCATTACCACCAGGCTGGTAGATGGTGAAGAGCTTGTACAAAATGGCCTGAGTAGCCACCCTTCGACTTGCTACAATGTCTCTTCTCACAGGCTCCGGAAGCGCGGCCAACAATGTTGAGCTTGCCCGCTGGTCCAATCGTTGAAACCGTGGAGACACCTGCTCTTCAACTTTGATTCTCAACCGAGCCAATGGTGTCGCCAGGAGCCATTCATTGTACTTGACATCCACCTCCCGTTGCACCCAATCCCAAAACTCCTTGGACGATGTGCTGAGGCCTCCCATCAATGGAGTAATCACCGTCAGCCAGTCTCCAAACAACAGGGCCGCATTCTCAGCCGAGGGTGCTGGTAGTGGGGGTAGTTCAAGGTTGCGCATTGCCTCGGGCAGCGCTGCTGTCACCGAGTCCAGCGGCTTCATCATGTTCGCTGAACCGTTCAATCCATCTCCACGACCTCGAGGATCATGTACACGAGCGAGACCGGGAGGAGTGTCAGGTAGTCCTCCAGGTTTTGCAGGCTCCTCATTGGCTTCTCGCCGTCTTTTTGCCTGGGCGCTCGGCGCCCAGGTGAACGAAGCTGAATCCCCCCCGTCCGTCATCTTCTTGACCTCCCGGGCGAAGGTCTCCTCAGCCTCCTTCAAAAGGCGTTCACCACTCGATGCTGCCACCATTGGAGGGCCTCCATGGCCAGAACCAGCGCTAGCTGCCACGCCCAGCCTTTTCACTTCAGCCGCTCGCACAGGCACTGATTGCGCCCTCGCCGCCTTGGTCTTCAGCTCCTCTTCAATCAGAGCGTCCAACCGGCGATCTGCAGCGCCGATCTCCATCTGTGGTGCCCTGTCGGGCTGGCTCTCTGCTGCCTCTTTCCTCTCGCGAGACCGCTGCTGCTGGCGCCGCCGCCGCTGCTCCATCTGCCGCACCGAAGGCCGCCAAAGATCAAAGGACTCATAACCCAAGGAAGATCAAGCGCAAAAGTCGGGATCGGCACGTCGTCCCTTGTTTTCTTGAGCCAACGAGCGAGTGCGCAACTGGTTTGTGCTTGTCAACTGAAACATGCGATCGGTCTCGATCATGAACCGTTCACAGTTTTCGGCTGCGGCGCTCCTTGCTTTGGTTTCTTTCCGTTGACCTTTGTGAACGTGCTTTTCTACATAGATTGGTCAAAGACTATAGCAACGACACGTCAGTCTTTGCAAAAGCAAATCGTAACCTTCCATTGCGTCCACGGACAAGATCAGGAAGAACCCAAGGCCAACGCAAAGTGATCTCAGGCAAACGCACATTGTGCCGGGTTCACCCGCCGAACTCGAGAGTGGGCCCAGTCTTGAAGATGTCCTCAGACCACCTCCTTGCTCAATGATGCACTGCTTAGCTACCACACAAGGCCACAGTAGTCGACCACCCAAATGGACTAACCAACTTGCTTGTGGGTGGTTTGGATGTAATTCCCCAATAGCCATGCTATGGGGTCTTGCAAAACTAATAGGCGGACGGGCGCCGTCGGGTCACCGTCAGAGCTGGTGGGCGGATGGTGTCCCGGTCATGTTTTGATGGCGTCCGGGTCATGTGATGCTGGTGTCCCGGTCATGTTTTGATGGTGTCCCGATCATGTTTTGATTGTGACCCAGTCATGTTGTGATGGTGTCCCGGTCCTGTTTTGATGGTGTCCCGGTC